TGGATAAAATATGTGTACACTTATTAACACTTGTGTACATGAATGTTTGTGTGTCTATATATGTATAGATTTTTTTGGCTGCATATGTATAGAGTTATTTTGGACATTTTAATATTAAACGATGTTTTGAAATCCTGTAATGTAAGCATGAGCTTATATCATTGCTTATTTTACTAGCCACTTATTAACACAAGTCTGAGTAAGCACCGATTGGTGACATGTGAAGTAACTTTGTCCTAACTCTTCTGATTTGGCAACTTTAAATTGTAATTTTAGTACCATTTGGTGTGTGTTTTCAAATGCTTTAATTTTAAAGAGCACTTTTATAACTTTTGGCTTAAATAAGCTAAAAGTGGTGTTTGCAAATGATAACTTTTTCTTAACTTAAGCAATTTAAGTTAAAAGCTAAAAGTTGCATTTGACTTGCTTTTAAGTGCTTATAGGTTTTATTGTAAATAACTTCAATTTCAAAGATATTTTTAATGATAAACCTATTAAAGAAATGTTCAAAATACCCTTCTGCTTTATTCTCAATGGGCATTGGCATAGTGTGGATCCTAATCAACTTAATTCCTCTAAAGTTAATGTTCAATAATGCCATTGTTACTAAAATTGTTATAATATGTGAATCAATGAATCTAATAACTTAGATCAAATAGACATTTAAATTAATATTGTGTACTCCAACGCACTAATAACTTTCAATAGGATTCTAAAATTATGTTAATAAATCAATGAATTAGTTAAGGGAGTGATGTATTTAGAATTAATTTAAGCTGTGAATATATGAGTATTTGTAGAAAGTAGTTTATATTAATCACAAAAAGGCCATTGTTAAACTTTACAAAATATATGTGAAACTAAAATTATTACATTAGAGTATTTTAAATCTTTCAAATCAGAGAAAACTCAAACAATTATGTATAACCACTTAAAATTCGTTCTAAGGCTTCAAAAAAGGACCTAATGAAAAATATGAATAAAATAGTAGATAAGATATTTGAACCCTTGATCAAGGGAGAGTCTACAAGAGAAACGAAGTATGTTAACCACTGAACCAAAAGTTCTCATGTTTACGAACACTATAATTAGTGTATAAGAGTTTTTTTTTAACCAAAAGTTCTCATGTTTACGAACACTATAATTAGTGTATAAGAGTTTTTTTAACCAAGTGTATAAGAGTTCTATATTGTAGAATAAATGCATATGCATATATAGGGCTCAGGTGGGGGTTGAGTGAGGGCAACTGCCCCTGCCCCCACGTTGCATCTGCCCCTGGGTGTATATTGAATAATTGTTTTTTTATTAAATTACAGAAATCATTTTTCATGTTTTTAGTGCTTTATAACTTACTTTTAGGTATCATAATTTTTCCTCAATAAATAAATAAGTTTCTAATACTTACTATGTTCCACATTTCATGAAAGAACATGTGGCTTGATTTTTTTACTAGTGTCATATACTCAAACATGTTTTCTTTTTGAAAGGATACTCAAACATGTTATGAAAAAACATGCGGTTCAAACATAAGTTTTTAATACTAACTCTGATCCACAATTTTCACGTCAAAATATTAATCACTAGTGTTGTGTTTTAGTTTTTCAAAAAAATGTAGGATCTTATTAAAAATTGTCATTTGTCATTTATGTAAACGTTTTGTCTTATTTCAAATGTTTTCAGTTATGAGTACTTTATTTTGTATTATACACACAAATTATTTTTTTAACAATTCCAACTTATATTTGTCATTTTTACGCCTTGGGATCTATTAGCTTGCAATTCATCAATGTATATACTAAGTACTTACTTTATGGGTTTAAAATATGAAATGGAAAACAAAGGAAATTTGGAAAACATGTGTTCATGTTTGAAAAATGAAAAACTAGAAAATGAAATCAGAAAACAAAAATATAAATCTGGAGAAATAAATAAACGGGTCTTTAGTTGTTTTTCATGGGTGGAAGCCAAGGAGTTTCAAGGTTTTAAGAAACCATGTTGATCATTTGCTAATTATGTATTTATGTCTAGCTAGATGTACTCTATTTAGTCGGATAAAAAAGGATGACACCACATCCATAAAAGCCCCCTAGCACCGACCGAACAATTAACTGTGAGGATGTAATTTGGACTTTTATCACAAACTAATAGATAGAGAGTAGTGGTGGACCCGGTTCGGGCCACCCGGCCCGTGAACCGGCCCGGCCCGCTACTGTGCGGGCCCAGGACTAGCCTGGTCTGGCGCGGGGGGCGGGCACAAATAGGGCAAATGGGGACTCGGCCCGGCCGGGCCCGGTTCGGGCCCAATTCTTTCTTTTTAATTATTTTTGGGTTTCCACCAGATTGGGTTGGGTGTTTTTTTTGGGGGGGGGGGGGGGGGGGGGGGGGGTTGGTTAGGGGTAGCTAGGAATGCAAAAAAAAAAAAAATACATTCGACCCGACCCCGCCTGGACCCGGTGGATACCCGGGCCGGTCCCGGGTCTACCCATTAAAATTCAAAGGCCCGCCACGACTAAACCCGGCCCGGGTCCATACCTAATAGAGAGTGTAGATCCAACTTAAATATTTGCAAGCCTCTGTGCGTTTTGCACAATTACCTCTCTTTAGAATTGCCATGAATTGAACTCGAAGCTTACCCTTTGTGGCATCCCTATTTAGTCGGATAAGACAAATACTTAAAAGGATAACGTGTTTTAAGATTTTATTAAAATTTCAAAATAGTAATTTGAGAGCCATCAATAGAATTATTTGTAGTTACAGCTAGACCAAATTTTTTTTATCTCGGTAAGATTCCAAAACCTGTGAGTCTTGGGATAAGGGCTGCAGAACACCTTACATGTTTATTAATGAAAAAGAAAATATACAACGAGTAGGAGGGTTAAAACCAAGGTCTACTCTGAAATTAAATTACATAAAGGTAACTAATAGCATCAAACTTGAGGATGCCAACAAAATGGTTAAAATGAGAATTTGTGATTTTTATCGATGTGCCTTTGTAGGCAAGGAAATCATCCGCTCTATTGACTTGAGGATCGATCTTCTTTATTGTCCAGTTGAGTTGCTTGAGCTTCTTTTTAGTTGTATGAATTCATGACCATCATTCCCAATGTTGGATTGAGTGACCTGTGATGCCTTCATGAATGTCCTTGTTGTCTACTTCAAAAATAACATTTGTTAAATTAGTAGTGTAGAGATATGGAATGATACTGATAATAGCATCATAACGAGCAAGGTTGAGGTTTTTGTGAGTACGCATATCGGTTTGATGACCAATATAATAGTAATGTCATATAATAGACCAGAATTATATTATGAGCTCACTTGGTAATGTGGAAATTGTATAAAATATATTGACACTAAAAATTATGAATAAATTTATTTTTATTATGGCAGAAATTCGACGGTTACAAATAACACCATTGGTAAATATATCTAGAACCATATTATGGTTCTAGAACCATATTATGAAACCAAGCACTACAGCCTAGCTGGTTGCGAGGTTACCGTGCCTAGTGGGAGGTCTCGAGTTCGAATCCCGCTAGGCACATAAGGGTTTGAAACTCAATGGAGTGAGTTTCAATCCTGATTACTCCAGGCTCCCCCAGCCCCCCTCCCCTAGACCCCCCTGGAGTAAAGAAAATCTAGAACCATATTATGAGTGCGTTTTGAAATGTTGAAATCGACCATATATATTGACATTGATGAAATGATGACTAAAAGAACTTAATTGTTAGAATTTAATGAATCATAAAAGAAAGGAAAATTGCCCAAAATAAGACTATTACGTTTTTCTTCTCGAAATAGGAGTCATTACTGACATGTATGAAAAATATTGTCATTAATTATAATAAATACTCTCATGTTAAATGCACTGTACTGCAAACTATTTGGCAGTCATGCTTACATGATGGCTGTAAATATTGCCATGTTAGTCCTATTTCGGGAATAAAAACATAGTAATTCTATTTTGGAATTTCAAACTCCATTTACTCCTATTTTGGGAAATCTCCCTAAAAGAAAATCACAAAAAAAACTAAGTGATTTCAGATGTTTTCTTTTGGACTGAATTTTGCTGGTTTGGTCTGGTCTGGTTTGGTCTAGTCTGGTCTGGTAAATGTCTGGTCTCTGTGTATTTTATAACTACGGAAGTCTGGTCTCGTCTAGTCTGATTTGATCTAGGACTGAAAACAGTTCAAAAGAAAACATCCTTAGAGATTTTGCCACTTTTAATCCTCCGACTATTATGTCGTTGACACTTTTGGTACTCGACTTTGAGTTTTTCCACTTTTAGTCCTACGACTATTGTACGAAAGACGCTTTTGGAATCTGTCTTTGAAAATTTACACATTTATTAATCCTTCAACTTTAATAAAACTGACACTTTTGGTTCTTCAATTATTATAATAGTGATAGTTTTAGTGATAGTCCTCTTATTGTGTCAAAATAATATTTGAAGGACTAAAATGTCAATATGATAATATTATGAGACTAAATAAGGAAAATTTATAGTCAATAACAAAAAGTGTCTTTTGCACAATAATCGAGAACTTGAAAGTTGTGTAACAAAAGTATCTTTCACACAATAGTCTAGAGACCGAAAATGGCAAAGCCTCAAAACTAAATATACCTCTCTTACAAGTCTACTTAAGATGCTTTCTTTTGGATTGTTTTCAGTCTCAGACTAGATCAGATCAGATCAGACCAGACTTCCGTACTTATAAAATACACAGAGATGATACGTTTACCTGACCAGATCCGATCAGATGAGACCAGACCAAACTAGCAACTTTCAGTCCAAAAGAAAACATGGTAAATTCATTGAGAAAGTTACTTCATTCACAGTTATTTTTATTACTATACAATTTAAGGTGAGAAATAAAAAGCTTAGCATATATTGAAAAATTGAATGATAATTGATAAGCTCAAATAAGAGGGCTGCCAAACAACCCTCTATTTTGACAAAATAAAGAAAAACGGTAATACAGTCAACTCAACTGCAATGCGTCTTTACAAAACTGATTCAGGACTCGGACATAACAGATTAACAGCCACCAGCCGGAAAGTAAACAGACAGACGGAAATGGAAGAAGCCGGCGGCAGCGAGCCGACTACGATTACAGTGAATGTGCAAGTCGCGGGAAGCTCGATTCTATTCAATGTCTCCCCCGACTCTACGGTCAAAGAGCTCAAGTCTGTCCTTCAGCAGCTCACTAATGTCCTCCCTGGCGCCCAGAAACTCATCTCGAAAGGTTTTACTCGTTTTCCCAGTCCATTCAATTCTACATTTCATGTACATAATTTCTTGTGCATTTGCGGATATAGGGAAAATTCTTGTTGACGAGATGACACTTAGGTCCTCCGAAGTTGACGATGGCTCGAAGATCATGCTCTTACCATCCCCATCCCTAGCGGTATCACACATTCACTCTTATTTTCCTTCTTAGATTTATCTATGACACCAGAAATTTGTTAAGTAAAATCACGAATTGGAGTTTCGCATTAGTATATCCAAATGATTAAGACACGGCTCTGGACTATGTTGTATGCTTCTCAGCACTGTGTTCCCATCTTACAGAAGCTGATTGAAGAGTGGAAGCTTACACGAATGATAGTGTTATCGCATTGTTATTTGAAGGTAAGATGAGCATGCATTTCTTATCAATTATTTTTGCTCGGATAGATCTCTCGTAACTTTTTGTTGAATTGCCGACCTTTTCTTTGTTGGGAATCGCAAGGCCATCCCTGATGCAGTATTGGAATTTGGAAATTCTGCACTATATCTTGATCTGGATGGTAACACCATAAAAGAAGTTCCTGAGAGAATTAGTCATTTAAGTTCTATTATGGTAAGTTTAAAAAAAGTTCTGTACAGGTAAGTATTCCTGTTTTGTGACAAGTGTTTGCTTCATAAACTTGTGATCATGATCAACACTTGTATAATAATTCTCAGGTCCTGTATCTTAATGCCAATGTCATTGAGGACCAATACTTAAGCTGGGAGGGGATACAGTCTTTGAAGTCTTTGATAGTTCTTTCTTTGAATGAAAACAGGTTAGTTACATCAATTCCATAATGAGCTGATATCCATTTTAATTGTCAACCATGCCTAGAAGATATCTCGGAGTCCTAATTACCATTAAGGAAAAATATGTACTCTTCTTGCTTATCACCATTAGTAAGTCATTCCCTAATATCTCTTGGGGTTATGATTGCTCCTTCAATTTTGGGTTCATTATAAGTTCATATGCAATTTAAGAGTTTCTCATAGTATTAATTTTGTAGCTGCTTTAAATATCCTACTTTGGGATGAAATTGACGTTGTCCACTTATATGCAATGGCATGCACAGGTTAACAATCTTACCTTCCAGCCTGGGCGCATTGACAAGATTGAGGCAGCTTCATATTTCAAAGAACAAGTTGACTTCTCTCCCAATCGAAATTGGCCTTCTAACAAAACTTGAGGTTTTGAATGCCCGCACTAACAGGTAACGCAATGTGGAAAATATACTTCTTGTTTTCCAATGTATTCTCATCTCCCCTTTTCTATTTAGCTTACAACTTTTATAAGTATTAGGCAACATATTTTGACGTCTTAAGTTTTCTTAATAGTTTAGTTTTACTAATGCATATATGGGCAAGCCACATTTTGCTCTTAGGATGCATTTGAGAGTGTGATTCCAATTGCACTTTTTTGACTGGACACACAACCTTCCAATTGAAAATTTAGCATTTGGAATGGTCTACTACATGATTCGCTTCAATCACAATTCATCTAATCGAATATTTGTAGGTCGCTCCATTGGAGCAGCGGGCTGGTCCCGTCTCTCCCAAATGCACACTTACTTTTATTTCCGTTTTCTTATCTCAAAATGGAAATTGCTGACCTCAAGTATCTTAACAGTAGGATTATTTGGGCATTGCAGGTTAAGCACCATTCCGACTAGCATAAGTGGGTGTGCTTCTCTTGAATACGTATGACTTCCTATGACACTCAATTAATTTATCTTGTGTTATTTACAAGCATTATATTGAGACTTTGCATATTCTCTGGAACATCAAACAGGTTGTGCCTCAATGTTCTATTATATCTTCTCGTTACAGATATATGACTAACCGCCAACTTTTGATACAGGTTGATATTTCATCTAATCTTCTGACTGAGTTACCTGATACCCTTGGCAAGCTAAAGAACATGGAGGTCAGTATATATTCTTTGCATTTGTTTACTGCTCAGACAATTTTTGCATGTACAAATAGCGACATATGATTGTCTATCACATGTAGAGATTAGAGAGCCCTGCCCTCAGACTATTAGGAGTAACCTTGTATTGTGTTAGAAAAAATTGGACTCATGACTCATTCAGTCTAAAAGTGAAAGAACTGAGGAGTTAGTAATAATTCTTTTGGGAGTAGACTGGTCCTATTCCAGAAGAAAAATACAAGGATGATCCTATTTGAACTTTAAGGAAATGTTTTCTCCTTATTTCCCTATCCTATCTATGGAAATTTTTCATTGTTGCTGGTTCAGGGAGTGTTCCAAACTCTTTTTTAACGAAGGAAATTAACACTCTCTGACCTAATAACCAAATGCCCAGAGTCAGGATATTCGCCCAATATTCCCGGATTGGGCGAATTCTTGTCATTGTTAATGCAGTTTTATCTAACTCAGTAATTCAGATTCTACTAATTTAGTTCCAACCACTAAACAGTGCCCTATAAGTGTTTAGTTTGATTTCTTTTTCTCTGCAGGAATTGCTTCTCGGTGACAATAGGCTCACATCTCTTCCGACTACTATATTCAGCCATTGTAATAAACTCTACTCATTGGATCTCCATGGTACTGGACTAACGAGGGATTATGTCCGGCAGCTCGATGGGTGGAATGAATTTAAAAAGAGAAAAAATAGTGAGATAGCTATAAGTTGAGAAAAATCTCCATCAGAAGATTTTATACTAGTGAGAAAAAAAAACTGAAGAGTATAAATGAGCTACTTATAATGGTAGTTAGAAACGGTTAAAGCAGTGTTCATAGTAGTTAGTCTGTTAATAACAACATCAACTATAAAAATAAGTTGATAGCTATAGATTGTACATATTTTGCCCATTCAATGAACTTCTCTTTTAAAACATCCATGCAACTCTTCTCTCTACTCTAATTATAGATATCATTAGTGACACTCGATTTACTCATTCTGGACATCCTGTGAGATAAATATTGTGATCTGTAATAGTATTTCATATACGTAGTAATAAAACTGAGTTGTAAATTAATAATGTGCAAGTTTCTTATTACAGTAGTTACTAAAAAATCTATTATCACTATTTCTAAAACATTTAATTAATTCAAGTTGACTTTGTGTTTCAGATCACTCCTATTCACTTATGTGCTAAATTTCATACTAATTACACTGATAAGAAATATTATATTTCAGTGCCTTGAGATTGAGGTTGATGATTTTTTAGAATCTAAAAATATACTTTATAATAATCTTACCATATTAGACATAACTAAACACATTTTTTTGAATTTAAGCAACGGTTTAAATGAAACACATAATTCTTAGTACGTGTAATCCCACACACGTAAATAAGTTTGAATAAATAATTATGTTTATTCAGTTTCACAATGCTGCTTTATGTTTTTTCAAAATTTGTGCCTTTTTGGTGTAACCGTGTAACTCTATGTTTAAGAAACTGAAACGGACCAGATACGGGTCATTAGATATGAAATGAGTATAGCAATTATAAAACAAGTAAACTAGACCATAGATAATTTCTTTGAAGAAATCAATCTTAGTACTTGTATATGAAGTATATGCAAAAAAATCATCATGCAAGAGTAGAAGAGAGCAAGATCGGATAATTGCGGAGATGATTGTTTGCACTCGCCGCGTTTCTGATGGAAGGAATTGGCTACCGTATTTCGTTGGAGTGTGCGTTCTACTTCTACATATGAATATATGATGGCAGAACATGAAATTGATGATTTTTTTTATCTTTTTATGCTTTGCTTGGGTTTAATATATTTGATAACACATTAAAAGGTGTGTATTTTGTTGAAAAGATCTTATTATAAGTGATAACTGTGTATGATTTTCGTGTTGTAATATTTGCTAGCTAGCTATTTGTTGTCTAATATTCTCACAAAAACCAATTGGTCATTATTAATTTTATATTGTTCTTTCCATGTCTATTAAAAAATGTTGTATACAAGCTTACATTTTATTTACATTTTGCATTTTATTATTCCCTTTTTAATTATGTTTTCTGAAAATTACATTGATTGGAAATATGTAAGTGATAAGTCAGTATTTAGACACGCATTTGATGCGTGTTCGGGTCGGATTTTGATGATTTTCCTGGCTTTAAGGCGTTGCAAGTCTCAATTTTGGCTCAAGTTGTATTTAACAGGCGTTGGATCGAGTTTCATTGCATTTGGAGTTGATTTGAAGAAGTTAGAGTCCGGTAATCGGCGCTTGAAAGGCATTCGGGAAGGATTTGAAGGCATTCGAGAAAGATTTGGAAGATTTGGAGGCCACCGGGAGATTCGCGACGAAATTCTGGTAAAGAAAGAGCATTTGGATCGACCTCATAGGCATTCGGGAGCATTCGGAACAAGAAACGAAGAAAAACGATGAAGAAAAGGTCAGGCACGACCGTGCCTAGGGCAGGCACGATCGTGCCTGCATTCAGAATTGACGCGGAGCTACTGGCAGCCAGACACGATCGTGTCCGGTGCATGCACGATCGTGTCTGCATCTTTTAAACTCGATTGTTCCGCAGGCACGATCCCAGGCACGATCGTGCCTGGCATCGTGTCTGGCCCCGTTTTGTCCTAAATCAGCTCAACTTCTCCTGTTTTCTATAAATAAGGCCTCCATACCCACTTTTGGGGGTTACGAACTTTGGAGAGAGGCCTAGGGACGAGTTTTACCTGCGTTTTTACGTTGTTTAATCCAAGAACCTGGGATTCTTTGTAAGTTCAATTCTTTAATTAATGACAATTATTTCTATTCATTCCAATTCTTTTGATTCGTCAATTATGAGGCGTGAGTAGTTTAATTAGGGATTTGGGGTTGATGAATGGCTAGATTCTTTTCGGTTTAATTGCATGAATGCCGTTTAATTTGTGTATGAATAATTTAACTGATATCTCTTGTAACCTAGATGGCCACTAGAATTACAATTGCTTATAGAATAAATTAAGAGAGATCTAATTTGTTCTAGGACACATTCACACACACTTAATCGTTCGCTAAGAGATTAGTAGCGATTAAGGGGCCGTAAGCTCGCTCGTTTTGGCAATAATCTAGGATCTTGTCGCATGAGAGATCAGCCTGGACCCCTAAATTATTGTACTCTACGCCGCGAGAGCGGTAAGAACTTAGTAATGATTAGCTAGGCTCAATTAAATTAAATTCATGCGATTAGGCCTGTTCTGCCAGAAATCTGGTTAACCCCGGAATCAATTCCTGTTCCCTTTGTCGTTAATTAAGGAAAATCAAATCTTTTTATTCGCTCATTAGCATTAGTTTTATTTTAATCAATCAACCAATCTCGCACAATTGCATTTTTATTTTATTTATTTCTTTTTAATCGCTAAGTTTAGTTGATCTTTATTTCCCTTTTGTCCGTCCCTGTGGAGACGATACTCGTACTTTACACCACTTTCTACAACCATTTTAAGTGCGAGAAAACACACATCAGTAAGCAAGCCCAATAATTCCAAAATGAATCATCCTGGGCTATGGTGCACCGATACTTCATACTGATGTCGTATCCGATGCGTATCGGATACCGATTACTCACTGATACACATCTTGTGCATTTTGGGTCTGTATCCGTAATTTAATAAAAGTGTTGGACTTATTTTTAAATATATAGATACTTCTGATACCCGTATTCGTGAACTGATACACATATTTAACCCTATAACCCTGATTTCGTACATGACATGATGAAAATTTAGTAGCTGTCCAAGCGACTTCAAGATGTGGCATTAATAAAGATGATTTTGGGAGTATGAAAATATTAGAATGCTATAATTTTCCAATTTGTCTCTTGGTGAGCATTAATTGAAACCAGTCTTGTTAAAAGACTTAAATGTAAATGAAAATAGAGAATCAAGAATACTACTTGAATTTAAATCAAAAGATTAGTACTTCAGTTTTTTTAGTCTAATACGTAGTATTTGAAATTCTATTATACGAAGTACTTGTTAATTTTTGGTATTGTTATTATTTTATTTATTAAATTCTAAATTATATATATTTGCAAATTATACTCTATAATACTACTACTATTATTTATAAACTAGCTTTCTACACGCGCAATGCGCGAAAACTAATACCCAATAACAATATACGTAATAGTAATCTCCCAATTATCAATTTCATATATGTTTTAAATATTATTTATTTTTGTTAAAAGAAATTTTGTGCATTAAATATCATCAAAAGTCAGCAACAAAATAATTAAAAAATTAAAGAAAGCAAAATCTAATTAAAGCTTCTCACTTGCTTCTTTTTTATTCCCTCCTAAAGCTTCCCTTTTTTATTTTAGAGGTAATTAGCAATCTTAAGTGACAAATTAATCATCAAGTATTTAAAATAAAACACATATATTTAGCATCACAATTATCATCAAAACATCATTTTGTTATATATTCATTACCATTATTTTTAAAATATAATAAAATTGCCTCTTTTAATTATGAAAAAAATCTAGTAATATTATTTCTAGGAAAGTGTAGACAAAAATGTTACTTGATGACTTTTAGTGCCTATAATTATGTGAGAAGTTACTATGATGTAGTGACTATATATAAACTTCAAACCTAACTATAGTCACTAAAAATTACAAAGTCACATTTTTAGTTTTTCTCTAAGGATGATTTCTTTTGGACTAGAATTTGCTAGTCTGGTTTGGTCTGATCTGGTCCGATCTGATCTGAACTGATTTGGTGTGATTTGGTAAATGTCTGGTCTCTGTTATTTATAATAACTACGGGAGTCTGATCTGGTCTGATCTGGTCTGTGACTGAAAGCAATTCAAAAGAAAACATCCTAAGTAACCATGCCATTTTTCACGAGTGAAATGTTTAGTTTAATTTCTCATGATATATTATTCGTAAAAGAAATAATATTACCACGATTTGTGGGGAGCATTTTAATTAACATTTCAATTTGCAAGTGATGAGGAGGAAAAATTTGTAAAAGTTACGTAGTAATATGCAATTTAGAAGTTAGGAAATAGTAGTAATTAATTAGGCAACGGAAGAAGAAAATAATTGACTAACATAGTTCCATCACTAATTAACGTAGTAAGGGTATTTTAGTACATGAGAAAGGAAAGTTTAATTAATAAAAGATAAGGTACAACATCTTATGCAAACAACATATTGACATAAAAATGGGTACCAACCATCATTCACCAATATAAGATTTTTAGATTTAGATATACCTCATACCAGTATCCTATAATTTTTGAAGTTTCCGTAGCACCGTACACATTTTCATGTATCGGCGTATTGACATATATCCCTATCTGGCTATCCGTGCAACATAGGTCTCGGGTACTATACTAGTTGATAAATTCCACTTTTGGTCCTACGAGTTTTAGGTCAATTCCACATTTATTCCACATCTTTCACTTTGTTCACTTTTGATACATGATTATTGTGTTTTCACTCATATATAGTCCTTTTGGCATTCTTCCGATGGTTAAAATCACCGGAAAAGGACCACAAACGGTTAAAAAACATTAGTCAAGTACAACAAATGAACAAAGTGAAAGATGCAGATTAAATGCGAATTGACACAAAACTCGTATGACCAAAAGTGGAATAAATTTGATAATAAATTGAGTAACAGAAATTGTTCGGAATAGGAGTCAAAACGGTTTGAAATTCCAAAATACGACTATCGTGTTTTTTATTCCGATATGAATTGTCTCATATTGAAGAGTGGAATGATAAATTGAATAATTTATAGGTAGTTTCTTTGGTACCCATAAGGTACCATACCTTTGTCCACATGGACCAATGAAAAGGTAGCAGTTGAATTATTTAAATCTAAATTAAAATTGATAAAGTGATGTGGTCCAATCAAATGAATGCTAGGTACGATACCCCTGTTTTTAGAAAGATACCAGAATTGTCACCTAATTTATAAAGTCAAATAAGAGGGCTGCCAAACAACCTCACATAACTCACGTGGGAAACTTAAAGAAAAACTCACATTTATAAACTTAAAAAAGCAAAACGGTAAGATAGTCAACTGCAATGCGCCTTTACGGTCAAAGACCTCAAGTCTGTCCTTCAGCAGCTCACTAATGTCCTCCCTGGCGACCAAAAACTCATCTCTAAAGGTTTTACTCGTTTTCCCGGTCCATTCAATTCTACACTTCGTATACGTAATTTCTTGTGCATTTGCGGATATAGGGAAAATTCTTGTTGACGAGATGACATTTAGGTCCTCCAAAGTTGACGATGGCTCGAAGATCATGCTCATACCACCCGAGGTTCTACAATTTTCACTAGCGGTATCGCACATTCACTCTTTTACTTCTTAAATTTATTGGTGACACCAGAATTCGAGTTTTTCAAGACAACGTAGGCTATTATTAAAAATTGTCATTTATCAAGTCTTTTTCGTGGATTATCATTTATGTAAACGTTTTGTCTTATTTCAAATGTTTTCAATTATGAGTACTTTATTTTATATATTATACACACATATTAATTTTTTAACAGTGTCAACTTATATTTGTCATTTTTTTCGCCTTGGGTTCTATCAGGTTGCAATTCATCAATGTATATACTAAGTACTTACTTTATGGATTTAGAAAATGAAATGGAAAACAAAGGAAATTTGGAAAAGATGTGTTCATATTTGAAAAATGAAACACTAGAAAATGAAATTAGAAAACAAAAATATAAATCTGGAGAAATAAACAAACGTGTCTTTAGTTTTTTTCCAAGGGTGGAAGCCAAGGAGTTTCAAGGTTTTAAGAAACCATGTTGATCATTTGCTAATTATGTATTTATGTCTAGCTACATGTACTCTATTTAGTCGGATAAAAAAAGGATGACACCACATCCCTAAAGGCCCCCTAGCACCGACCGCACAATTAACTGTGAGGATGTAATTTGGACTTTTATCACAAACTAATAGATAAAGATTGTGGATCCGACTTAAGTATTTGCAAGCCCCTATGCGCTTTGCACAATAACCTCTCATTACAATTGCCATGAATTGAACTCCAAGCTTACCCTTTGTGGCATCCCTATTTAGTCGGATAAGACAAATATTTAAAATGACAACGTGTTTTAAGATTTTATTAAAATTTCAAAATAGTAATTTGAGAGCCATCAATAGAATTATTTGTAGTTACAGCTAGAACAGTTTTTTTTATCTCGGTAAGATTCCAAAACCTGTGGGTCTTGGGATAAGGGCCGCAGAACACCTTACATGTTTATTAATGAAAAAGAAAATATACAACGAGTAGGAGGGTTAAAACCAAGGCCTACTCCGAAATTAATTTACATAAAGGTAACTAATAGCGTCAAACTTGAGGATGCCAACAAAATGGTTAAAATGAGAATTTGTGATTTTTATCGATGTGCTTTTGTAGGCAAGGAAATCTGCCGCTCTATTGACTTGATGATCGATCTTCTTTATTGTCCAGTTGAGTTGCTTGAGCTTCTTTTTAGTTGTATGAATTCATGACCAGCATTCCCAATGTTGGATTGAGTGACCTGTGATGCCTTCATGAATGTCCTTGTTGTCTACTTCAAAAATAACATTTGTTAAATTAGTAGTGCAGAGATATGGAATGATACTGATAATAGCATCATAAAGAGCCAGGTTGAGGTTTTTGTGGGTACGCATATTGGTTGATGACCAATATAAGAGTAGTGTCATATAACAGACCAGAATTATATTATGAGCTCACTTGGTAATGTCGAAATTGACTAAATATACTGACACTAAAAATTATGAATAAATTTATTTTTATTATGGCCGAAATTTGGTGGTTACAAATAACACCATTCGTAAATATATCTAGAACCATATTATGAGTGTGTTTTGAAATCGACGATATATATTGACATTGATGAAATGATGACTAAAACAACTTAATTGTTAAAATTTAATGAATCGTAAAAGAAAGGAAAAATGCCCAAAATAGGATTACTACGTTTTTCTTTTTGAAATATGAGTCATTACTGGCATGTATGAAAAATACTGTCATGATTGAAAAATATTGCCATTAATTATAATAAATACTCTCATGTTAAATGCACTGTACTGCAAACTATTTGGCAGTCATGCTTACATGATGACTGTAAATATTGTCATGTTAGTCTTATTTCGAGAATAAAACCATAGTAGTTCTATTTTGGAATTTCAAACTTCATTTACTCCTATTTTGGGTAATCTCCCTAAAAGAAAATCACAAAAAAATTTGGGTAAACTCTTATTTCAGATGTTTTCTTTTGGACTGAAATTTGCTGGTCTTGCTTGGTCTGGTCTGGTCTAGTTTGGTAAATGTTTGGTCTCTGTGTATTTTATAACTACGGAAGTCTGGTTTGATCTAGGACTGAAAACACTTCAAAAGAAAAAATCCTCAGAGATTTTGCCACTTTTAATCCTCCAACTAATATGTCATTGACACTTTTGGTACTCGACTTTGAGTTTTTCCACTTCTAGTCCTACGACTATTGTACAAAAGACGCTTTTGGAATCCGTCTTTGGAAATTTACACATTTAATCCTTCAAATAAAACTGACATTTTTGATTCTTCAGTTATTATAACAGTGATAGTTTTAGTGATAGGACATCCTCTTATTGTGGCAAAATAGTATTTGAAGGACTAAAACTGTAAATATGATAATATTATGGGACTAAATGAGGAAAATTTAAAGTCAATAACAAAAAGTGTCTTTTGCACAATAATCAAGAACTTGAAAGTTCAAAGTTGTGTAACAAAAGTATCTTTGACATAATAGTCTAGAGACCGAAAATGGCAAAGACTCAAAACTAAATATACCTCTCTTACAAGTCTACTTAAGATGTTTTCTTTTGGACTATTTTCAGTCCCAGACCAGACCAGATCAGACTTCCGTAGTTATAAAATACACAGAGACGAGACATTTACCTGACCAGACCAGATCAAACCAGACCAAACCAGCAATTTCAATTCAAAAGAAAACATCCTAAATTCATTCAGAAAGATACTTCATTCACAGTTATTTTTATTACTATACAATTTAAGGTGAGAAATAAAAAGCTTATTATATATTGAAAAATTGAATGATAATTGATAAGCTCAAATAAGAGGGCTGCCAAAGTGCCAAACAACAGTAAAATATACCGTACAACCGGCTGTACCGTGCGCATGGTACAGCCAGACCTTTTTTTTTTGTCTGCGCTTCTTCTTCGATCGACCTCGCTCTGGCCTTCTCCTCGATTTCGCACCCAGCTTCGCACCAGCAGCTTCAGATCTCGTCTGGTTCTTCGATCTGGCTTCGCACTTGGTTGATTATACGCTCACCACTCATCTCTTTCTCTTTCAGGTTGTTGCTCGTCGTTGCCTCTCACCGCTCATCTCCTTCTCCTCTAACACGGACACAGCAGATCTCCTTCTGTCTTTCTTTTCACTCTTTTTTTTTTTTTTTTTTTCTCTTTTTCATATTCAATTTTGGTGTTTAAGATTGTGACTTTGGAAGACAAAGGGAGCCTACTGCAAACAAAGGAATCCCTATTGCTATTCATCTCAAATGAGTTTTATATTAAACTTAAATGAGTATACACATAAAAGAACTGAACATACACAACTGAACATTAAACACATTAAAAATGAATTTTATATTAAACTCCGATGAGTATACGCTTCAAAGAAATGAACATACACAACTGAGTATTAAACACATTAAAATGTGTTTTATGTTAAACTTAAATGAGTATAACGTCCAAAATCAATGAGCATACAGAAATGAGCTTTTGAACTTTTTGATACTCATTTTGTAAATTATGTATACTCATTTGGTACTGCTTTATGTCCATTTAAAATGATGCACATATCAAATATAACGTCCAAAATCAATGAGCATACACAAATGAGCTTTTGAATTTTTGGACACTCATTTTGTAAATTATGTCTGCTCATTTGAGATACTGTTTTATGTTCATTTTAAAATGATGCGCATATCAAATATAACGCCCAAAATCAATGAGCATACACAAATGAAGTTTTGAATTTTTTGATACTCATTTTGTAAATTATGTATGCTCATTTGGTACTGGTTTATGCTCATTTTAATATGATGCACATATATCAAACATATCATACTACATTAAATTGACATATTGAAATTAATTATAAACACAATTTAAGATTTTTTTATAAACGAAAATTAATAAAATGAAACTGAATTAGGAGATATGATGCAGAGATCACTGATGCTCATTGTTAGGTTCCTAATACTCAGAAAAAAAACTTGATGCTCATCCAAATTACATCAATGATCATTTAAGAGTAACCATGAACTTCATAAAATTTACAAAAATGACACCGGCGTTACCGTGCCAACCGTACAGCCCGCTATATAGTATAAGACTCCACAAACAACCTCTATTTTGACCAAATAAAGAAAAACGGCAAGATAGTCAACTGTAATGCGTCTTTAAAAAACTGATTCACGACTCGGACATAACAGATTAACAGCCACCAGCCGGAAAGTAAACAGACAGACGGAAATGGAAGAAGCCGGCGGCAGCGAGCCGACTACGATTACAGTGAATGTGCAAGTTGCGGGAAGCTCGATTCCATTGAATATCTCCGCCGACTCTACGGTCGAAGAGCTCAAGTATCGCCTTCAGCCGCTGACTAATGTCCTCCCTGGCGACCAAAAACTCATCTCGAAAGGTTTTCCTCGTTTTCCCAGTCCATTCAATTCTACATTTCATGTACGTAACTTCTTGTGCATTTGAGGATATAGGGAAAATTCTTGTTGACGAGATGACACTTGGGTCCTCCGAAGTTGACGATGGCTCGAACATCACGCTCTTAGCATCCCCAGCGGTATCACACATTCACTCTTATTTTCCTTCTTAGATTTATTTATGACACCAGAAATTTGTTAAAGTAAAAAAAAGAAGTGGAGTTCCGCATTAGTATATTCAAATTATTAAGACACGGCTCTGGACTCTGTTGTATGCTTCTCAGCACTGTATTCCCATCTTACGGAAGCTGATTAAAGAGTGGAAGCTTACACGAATGATAGTGTTATCGCATTGTTATCTGAAGGTAAGATCGATGAGCATGCATTTCTTATCAATTATTCTTGCTTGGATAGATCTCTCGTAACTTTTTGTTGAATTGCCGACCTTTTCTTTTTTGGGAATCGCAAGGCCATCCCTGATGCAGTATTGGAATTTGGAAACTCTGCACTATATCTTGATCTGGATGGTAACACCATAAAAGAAGTACCTGCCAGAATTAGTCATTTAAGTTCTATTATGGTAAGTTTAGAAAAAGTTCTCTACAGGTAAGTATAGCTGTTTTGTGACAAATGTTTGCTTCATAAACTTGTGATCATGATCAACACTTGTATAATAATTCTCAGGTCCTGTATCTTAATGCCAATGTCATTGAGGACCAATACTTAAGCTGGGAAGGGATACAGTCTTTGAAATCTTTGATAGTTCTTTCTTTGAATGACAACAGGTTAGTTACATCAATTCCATAATGAGCTGATCTCCATATTTATTGTCAACTATGCCTAGAAGATATCTCGGAGTCCTAATTACCTTTAAGGAAAAATATGTACTCTTCTTGTTTATCACCATTAGTAAGTCGTTCCCTAATATCTTTTGGGGTTATGTTTGCTCCTTCAATTTTGGGTTTATTATAAGTTCATATGCAATTTAAGAGTTTCTCGTAGTATTAATTCTGTAGCTGCACGCTTTAAATATCCTACTTTGGGATGAAATTGACGTTGTCCACTTATATGCAATGGCATGCACAGGTTGACAATCTTACCTTCCAACCTGGGCGCATTGACAAGATTGAGGCAGCTTCATATTTCAGATAACGAGTTGACCTCTCTCCCAATCGAAATTGGCCTTTTAACAAAACTTGAGGTTTTGAATGCCCACAGTAACAGGTAACGAAATGTGGAATATATACTTGTTGTTTTCCAATGTATTCTCATCTCCCTTTTTCTATTTAGCTTACTACTTTTTATAAGTATTAGGCAACATGTTTTGACGTCTCAAGTTTTCTTAATAATTTAGTTTTACTAATGCATATATGGGCAAGCCACATGTTGCTCTTAGGATGCATTTGAGAGTGTGATTCCAATTGCACTTTTTTGACTGGACACTCAACCTTCCAATTGAAAATTTAGCATTTGGAATGGTCTACTACATGATTGGCTTCAATCACAATTCATCTAATCGAATATTTGTAGCTCGCTCCATTGGAGCAGCGGACTGGTCCTGTCTCTCCAAAATGCACACTTACTTTTATTTCCGTTTTCTTATCTCAAAATGGAAATTGCTGACCTCAAGTATCTTAACAGTAGGATTATTTGGGCATTGCAGGTTAAGCACCATTCCGACTAGCATAAGTGGGTGTGCTGCTCTTGAATACGTATGACTTCCTATGACACTCAATTAATTTATCTTGTGTTATTTACAAGCATTATATTGAGACTTTGCATATTCTCTGGAACATCAAACAGCTTGTGCCTCAGTGTTCTATTATATCTTCTCGTTACAGATATATGACTATCCGCCAACTTTTGATACAGGTTAATATTTCATATAATCTTCTGACTGAGTTACTTGATACCCTTGGCAAGCTAAAGAACTTGAAGGTCAGTATATATTCTTTGCATTTGTTTACTGCTCAGACAATTTTTCCAAGTACAAATAGTGACATATGATTGTCTATCACATGTAGAGACTAGAGACCCCTGCCCTCAGACTATTATGAGTAACCTTGTATTGTGTTAAAAAAATTGGACTCATGACTCATTCAGTCTAGAAGTGAAAGAACTGAGGAGTAGTAATACATCTTTTGGGAGTAGCTGGTCCTATTCCAGAAGATAAAAACAAGTATAATCCTATTTGAACTTTAAAGAAATGTTTTCTCCTTATTTCCCTATCCTATCTATGGAATGTTTTCATTGTTGGTGGTTCAGGGAGTGTTCCAAGATCCTTTTTAACGAAGGAAATTAACACTATCTGACCTAACCAAATTCCCGGAGTCAGGATATTCGCCCAAGATTCCCGGATGGGGGAATTATGGTCATTGCTAATGCAGTTTTGTCTAGCTCAGTAATTCAGATTCTACTAATTTAGTTCCAACGAACCACTAAACAGTGCCCTATAAGTGTTTAGTTTGATTTCTGTTTCTCTGCAGGAATTGCTTCTCGGTGACAATAGGCTCACATCTCTTCCCACTACTATATTCAGCCATTGTAATAAACTCTACTCATTGGATCTCCATGGTACTGGACTAACGCTTGATTATGTCCGGCAGCTCGATGGGTGGAATGAATTTGAAAAGAAAGAAAATAGTAAGATAGGTATAAGTTGAGAAAAATCTCCATCAGACGATTTTATACTTGTTAGAAAAAAACTGAAGAGTATAAATGAGCTACTTATAATGGTAGTTCGAAACGGTTAAAGCACTGTTCATAGTAGTTAGTCTGTTAATAACTACATCAGCTATAAAAATAAGCTGATAGCTATAGATTGTACAGATTTTACCCATTCAATGAACTTCTCTTTTAAAACATCCATGCAACTCTTCTCTCTACTCTAATTATAGATGTCATTAGTGACGCTCGATTTACTCATTCTGGACATCCTGTGAGATAAATATTGTGATCTCTAATATTATTTCACATACGTAGTAATAAAACTGTGTTATATATTAATAATGTGCAAGTTTCTAAATTTTTGAAACTACTACTATTGTTTATAAATATACCTCATACTAGTGTCCTATAATTTTTGAAGTTTCCGTGTCACCGTACACATTTTCACGTATCGGCGTATTGACATATATCCCTACTCGGCTATCCGTGCAACATAGGTCTCGGGTACTATACTAGTTGATAAATTCCACTTTTGGTCCTCCGAGTTTTAGGTCAATTCTACATTTAGTCCACATCTTTCACTTTGTTCACTTTTGATACATGACTATTGTGTTTTCACTTTTCACTCATATATGGTTCTTTTGGCATTGTTTCCGATGGTTAAAATCACCGGAAAAGGACCACAAATAGTTAAAAAAACATTAGTCAAGTACAACAAATGGACAAAGTGAAAGATGTTGAATAAATGTGAATTGAGACAAAACTCGTATGACCAAAAGTGAAATTAATTCGATAAAAAAATGAGTAGTAGAAATTGTTCTGAATATGAGTCAAAACGGTTTGAAATTCCAAAATACGACTGTCGTGTTTTTTATTCCCTCAATATGAATAATCTGGCAAATTTAGAAAAAAATAAATGTTATGTTTCAAGCATAATAATGTCAAACTTGACAGAAATTTACTCATATTCAATTGTTTATGTACTCTTCTTGTTGATCACCATTGAATTGTCATATTGAAGAGTGGAATGATAAATTGAATAATTTATAAACTCAAATTAGAGGGCTGCCAAACAACCTCACATAACTCACGTGGGAAACTTAAAGAAAAACTCACATTTATAAACTTAAAAAAGCAAAACGGTAAGATAGTCAACTGCAATGCGCCTTTAAAAAACTGATTCAGAACTCGGACATAACAGATTAACAGCCACCGGCCGGAAAGTAAACAGACAGACGGAAATGGAAGACGAAGGCGGCAGCGAGCCGACTAGGATTACAGTGAAAGTGAGAGTGGCGGGAAGCTGGATTCTATTCAATGTCTCCCCCGACTCTACGGTCAAAGACCTCAAGTCTGTCCTTCAGCAGCTCACTAATGTCCTCCCTGGCGACCAAAAACTCATCTCTAAAGGTTTTACTCGTTTTCCCGGTCCATTCAATTCTACACTTCGTATACGTAATTTCTTGTGCATTTGCGGATATAGGGAAAATTCTTGTTGACGAGATGACATTTAGGACCTCCGAAGTTGACGATGGCTCGAAGATCATGCTCATACCACCCGAGGTTCTACAATTTTCACTAGAGGTATCGCACATTCACTCTTTTACTTTCCTTCTTAAATTTATTGGTGACACCAGAATTCGAATTATGATTTAATATAATCAAATGATTAAGACGCGGCTCTGGACTATGTTGTATGCTCTTCAGGACTATGTCCGTTCCAAATTACAGGAACATATTGAAATATGGAAGTCTACAGGAGTGGTACTGTTATCTAAGTCTAATCTGAAGGTAAAATGAGCATGCATTTCTTATCGCTTATTATTGCTTTGATAGATCTATATTGCCACCTGAAGGCCTGAATCTCTTGTAACTTTTTGTTGATTGCCAACCTTTTCTTCTTTTGGAATCGGAAGGCCATCCCTGATGCAGTATGGGAATGTGGAAGTTCTGTAAAATTTCTTGATCTGAGTGGTAACTCCTTAGAAGAAGTTCCTGCAAGAATTAGCCATTTAAGTTCTCTTCATGTAAGTATAGCTTACTTGTGACAAGTGTTTGCTTTATCAATTTATGATCATGATCAACACATGTCAACTAATTCTCAGAATCTCCATCTTACTGCAAATGGAATTGAGGACACAAATTTAAGCTGGGAAGGGATAGAGTCTTTGAAGTCCTTGAGAGCTCTATCTTTGGATGAGAATAGGTCAGTTGAATACTTGCATCTATTCCATAATGAGTTGATCTCCATTTTAATTGTCAAATATGCCCAAAAGATACCTCAGAGTCCTAATTACTTTTAACGAAAAATATTCTTGTTTGTCACCATTAGTAAGTCCCTCCTTAATATCTCTTAGGGATTTGTTTGCTCCTTCAGTATCGGGCTCATTATAAGTTCATATGCAATTAACAGTTTCTCGTAGTATTAATCACGTTGCTGCTTTAAATATCCTACTTTGGGTTGAAATTTACTTTGTCCACTTATATGCAATGGCATGCACAGGTTAACAATCTTACCTTCCAGCCTGGGCGTATTGACAAACTTGAAGCAGCTTTATATTGCAAATAACCAGTTGACTTCTCTCCCGATCGAAATTGGCCTTTTAAAAGAACTTGAGCGTTTGGAGGCCAACAATAACAGGTAAAGCAATGCCGAAATATACTTCTTGTTTTCCCATATATTTTCATCTCCCTTTGTCTATTTAGTTTACTTCTTTTATAGGTATCAAGCATCAGATTTTGAGGTCTTAAGGTTTCCTAATAGTTTAGTTATAGTTATGTATATATGGGCAAGCCACAATGTGTGTGTGTTCGGTGTTCCCCTCCACTTCCTGCTAATATCGTATGTTGCTCTTAGGAATTTGGATGCATTTAGGAGTGAGATTCCAATTGCACTTTTTTACCGGACACTTAATCTTCCAATTGAAAATTTAGCATTTGGAATGGTCTACTACATGTTTCGCTTCAATCACAATTCATCTAAACGAATACTTGTAGCTCGCTCCATTGGAGCAGTGGGCTGCTTCTGTCTCTCCCAAATGCACACTTACTTTTATTTCTGTTTTCTTATCTCGAGTTGGAATATTGCTCACCGTGGATTTTTTGGGCATTGCAGGTTAAGCACAATTCCGGCTAGCATATGTCGGTGTGCTTCTCTTCTTACTGTATGACTTCCTATGAAACTCGGTTAATTTATCTTATTGAGTTACTTGCATGCATTTTATTGGAGTAAAGGGTCAGTTTGGTCCTTGAAGTTGGAAAAAAGGGGTCAAATAAGTCCTTATATAGAAGATTCTGTCCGGACGTGCCATTTGAGGTGGCTCCCGATAGAATTTTTTGATGGATTTTTTTGAGCATCTTATTCATCAAGTCTAGTTTACTCATACCAAATTTCAAATAAAAATTCAATCGGGAAGATATTCAAATGAATTCTTGAAGATAACTGTGCTTTTAACGACACAGTTATCTTCAAGAATTCATTTGAATGTCTTCCCGGTTGAATTTTTATTTGAAATTTGGTATGAGTAAACTAGACTTAATGAATAAGATGCTCAAAAAATTTTATCAAAAAATTCCACCCGGAGCCACCTCAAATGGCACATCCGGACAGAATTTTCTATATAAGGACTTATTTGACCCCTTTTTTGCAACTTCGAGGACCAAACTGACCCTTATCCCCATTTTATTGAGACTGCATAATCTCTGGAACATCCACCACCAGTTACTTCAGTGTTCTATTCTATCTTCTAGTTAGAGGTATATATGACTAACCGCCAACTTTTGATACAGATTGATATTTCATCTAATCTTCTGACTGAGTTACCTGATACCCTTAGCAAGCTGAAGAACTTGAAGGTCAATATATATTATTTGCATTTGTTTACTTTGTCTCTAATTAATTTTGCTTCATCCCTTTTTATTCATCCATTTTTATTTAGCCATCTTTGACTTTTCCAGTCAAAGGTAATAAACTTTTATCCATTATTTTAACTAATATATTTATCTGAAACTTGATAAATTTATACCTTTATCACAATATTTTTAGCAAAGAACATTTCCATATATAATCGGTCAAAGTTGAACACAACTTTGACTTGAAAAATAGTGTTTGGCTAAATAAAAAGGGACGGAGGAGGTAATAAATATTTTGGGAGTGGACTTTGAAGAAATGTTTTCTGCTTGCAGTCCTATCCTATCTATAGAATTTCTTCATTATTGCTGGTTCAAAGGAGTGTGCCAAACTCTCTAACCTAACTAATGCAGTTTTATCTAACTCAGTAATTCAGATTCTACTAATTTAGTTCCAACCGCCAAACAGTTCCTACAAGCTCTATAAGTGTATATTTTGATATCTGTTTCTCTTCAGGAATTGCATCTCAGAAACAATGGGGGGCTCACATCTCTTCCCACTACCATATTCAGACTTTGTAACCAACTCTCCATACTGGATGTCGATGGTACTGAAATAACAACTGATTATCTCCGTCAGCTAGATGGGTGGAATGAATTTGATGAGAAAGTGAGGTTAAATCGTCAAAGGCAACAGGCTTTCAGAGAAGAACCTGGATATACGAGTGATAGGTCAGAGTGAGAAAAACTGAAGAGTGTATATGGCTGGCTCCAAAGATTTTTTGTTCCAAAGAATTCACATTTTGGACATTGTAGTCAGAAACGATTCAAGCATTGTTCATAGTAGTTAGATACGGTTAAATCATGGTGTATTTCATACATAGTATGCTCTTTCTCAAACAGAATCCATCCGTTACAGATGTTCATCTTTCTCTCTATGTTTCTTTATCTGGTTTATGCTATAGTACATGACCTAAATATAATCACCAACTAATATTTTAGGAAAAAACTCTAATAATAACGATAATAATAGACTAATAGTGGGGATCTATAATAATACAAAGGAATAAAGTTTGGGACCACTTTAGTTGCAATTCCCTCAAGTGTGCATTTATTGGCCTTTGTACGTTACTCCATAGAAGCTCTTTTTGGACAATCTAGATACTAAATGTAAAATATTAAATGTAATATGGGCTGAAATTTAATTCTTTGTAAGAGTAACACGTATGGAATACATGGTAATATGTGCACATGCATGTAAATAAAATAAGGGTTTTTTACGAGAATATTACTAAAATAAAACTTATTTATATGAATATGACTATTCATTACTACAACATAGTGCTGTGGTAATTAAAGTTCAAAACTTGAACATGAATTACTATGATTTCATTACTACTCTAGTAATGAATCATATTTTTGTAAACCATCTTTATTTTGGTCATATTTATGTAATTATTTCATAAAATAAATAACTAAGCAAGACCCATTTTAGTGACATCTAGAAATATATATTTTTGCAACTGTGACATCTAGAAATATTAGATGCAATAAGTGCTTGCAATTTATTCTTAGTAAGCCGACAACCACGTATGATATACATATACAGACATGATCTTTCCTTTTTGGGGCGTCCCAAAAAACTTTGTCACTTTCTTTTTTAATCAATTATTTTGTAGTTTTTGTTATTTCTATCTCCTCTGTACAAACCTCAACCACACAGTTTTTACTTTATTATTCTCCGTGCCGTTCAACTTTGACAAAGTTTCAAGGGACGGAGGTAGTATATTACTAATGCACAAGGAAATAAGATAAACAATAAAATTATATAATTTCCTCATATAATACTTGATGGAGTATATGGCTCGGGACCCCCCGGCCCATAGACTCCCACTTCTCCTACACAAGTCCATTGGGCTCAGGAAACAACTCAGGCCCAAATACAACGGCCCAAGCCTCAAAGTAGCCCAGAATACACACTGGGGGGCCTTCGGCCTCCTTGGCCGAAGGCTCCAGAAACTCACGAAGTAGCCCTCTCTGACATACGAGGCTACTGGGAGAAAACGGCGAAAAACATGAGCCTTCGGCATTACCAAGCCCTCGGCATTAGCGAAGCCTTCGGCTTAACTTAGCCCTCTGTCACTCGGGCCTTCGGCTACACAGGGGTCCTTGGCTACATAGAGCCCTCGGCTACACAGGAAGCCTTCGGCCTAACATGCTCAATCATCGAAGATTCCTTTTGGAGACAGCCAACCACCGCATTTAATGCCACGTCACATCCACCAACCGCATTCAATGCGGTGAACGTACCACTGCCGGTGTCACCCGACTGATGTGACCCTTCGGCCGTTGGATTACTGACACGTGTACTCTCATCGCATTTATTGCTGCTATAAATAGCAGCCCATTTCTCCTTGTAATCGACATCATCTACATCCCAACTCCACATCTCGAGTTCATTTAATAAGATCGACTATCTCTCCTCCTATTTGCTCTGACTTCTCTCTAAGTTATTCCCTCAATAACCCCTCGGATAAGATACCCCCGGGTAGACTTTCCATCAATACTCTTCCGTGTCATTTTACCCGCCGCCTTACATAGGCTGTCTAACATTACATTTAATGATCAGAAGCCTGTTTGGTAATACTGAAATTGCTTGAATCGGCTTAATTTGTCGAAATTGATGAAATCCTGGGTGAAGAGATTGATTTTGTTATATGTGCTCAATTATGATAAAAACACTTTTTATTAATGAAATAAAGAAAAATTTATAAGAAAAATAGCTACAATTGTTCTCTACAGTAACTTCAGGGTTGGTTTGCAACTACTTTTAAAAAAGTACTTCTCAGCTTTTGGCTCTAAAAAAGCACTTATTTTCCCAAACACTACAACTTTTATTTTTCTCGGCTTCCGCGTCAAAAGTGCTTTTACTATTTCTATTACACAAAAGCACTTATTTTACCAAACACTACCCACTTTTACTTTTCAAAATCACTTTTTTCTCAAACACTATCAACTCTTATTTAATCACTTCTCCCATTTCATTAAAAAAGCACTTTTTTAAAAGCAGAAGCTGTTGCAAAAAGACCCTCAATCAGAAATGACACACTAACTTTATTTAATTTGACTATTATAAATGTAAAATTTACGCGTTTGGTGAAAAAATTGTCTTAGAGCCCGTTTGGTAACTCGAGCTGATTTGGCTGATTCTGCTGAAATTTATGAAATTCTGGCGGAAGTGGCTGCATTGGCTGATTCTGCTGATTTAAGAAAAAATTATTTTTAAAATATATTTTATTAATAAGTTAAAGAAAAAATTATATGTAAAAATAGCAAAAAATTATATGTGAAATATTATATGTAAAAATAGCCACAGGAGGAAGTGACTGCATTTTCTGATTCTGCTGAATTGTAATTTATGTTGAAAACAAATAAATGTAAAATTGCATTGATTTTTTTTAAATATTTTGTTGGAGAAGGAGAAAAGAATTGAAGAAAAGATAAATCAAGAAGACGAAGTCAATGAAAAAGAAAAATGATTGATCGTGAGGAAGAAAAGAAGAAAGTGCAAATATGTAATAGTGAGATCAGTATACCGTGCATAGGGTGTAATCATCTCACGTTATAATTTCCGGTAAAGAAATACTCACTTTTGGACGTTAAAATACCATTCTCTCTATTGTCTAAACCAATGTACGGTCCAACCGACTTTGTAATAACAATAACATATTAATAGTAGTTATAATAGTAATAACAATAATAATTTACAATTGACGAGATTTCAACACAGGCACATTTGAAATTTCGCTTTTTAAAAACTATTACTGAATTAAAATTTATTTACAAAATGTATAACTGAAAGTTATTATGAGTGTGGTATTATGATAACTTACTAACTTAAGAATAAACATTGAACATAAGTTAATGATGGAGTTATGCGACTAGGTCCAAAGCCCAATAGACCCAGGCCCCAAACATGCACCAGTGAGTCCAGACCCACGACCTGAACTAGCAAGTTCAAACCCAAGTCCATTATCTCACCAAGACAGCCCGACCAGTGGGCCCAAGAACCCATAGCTCAAGTCGGCATAGCCGATCAAGCCCATCAAGGAAAGGAAGTCCAACGAAGTAGATGTCCAAGACATCCTGCCAGCCTGTCAGCCTAATGGGAGGCATGCATTCCAGCCCATCCCGAGGCCTACCTTCCAGTCCATTGGGGAGCCTGTCTACCCGCCCAGCGGGAAACCTGCCTCCCAGCCCAGCGGGAAGTCTGCCTTTCAGCCCAACGGGGAGCCCGCCACTTAGCCCAATGGGAAGCCTACCCTCAAGCCCAACTAGGAGGCTGCCTACAAGCTCATTCGGGAACCTGCCTGCTAGCTCAGCGGAGAGGAAGCTCAAGCGTCAGCCAACAAGTTAGGCCGACTTGCCAGTCAGGAAGATTAACAGTCAAGCAATTAATGCATTATTTGATTAGGTTTTTAATTCCTTATTAAAATTGTAATTAATTAGTCACTATTGCGCATGACAGTTTCCATTTGCAAACGCCAATAAAATGCAAGTTGTAATTGAAATTGTGCATATGCTATTTCTGACGGCTAATTCCCTTAACACTTTCCATTGTTCGTACTTTATGTTTACTACTGAGTGTTCTGTTGTAGCTGTCCCAAAAAGTCTACGAGCATTTGGACCACCAGTTAATATGACTAAAGTTATTATTGTTAGTCATAAAAATTTTGACTAAAAATAATATGACTCAAAAGTCACATATCTAATGACATTTTTTTATTAGTACAAGTTGAACCCAATTTCACTATACTTATCATGCGCTATCAAGAATTTATAATAAACTTTCGAGAGATTTAATCTGAATTTTTCGAACTATTCATTAGGTTCCCATCATCATCATCTAATGACATAATTAAAAATATAAATTATGTATCCCGTGCAACGCACGGGTAAAGAATCTAGTGTTGATAATGGTAACAATAAAATGCAATAGTAGTAATATAATATACGTTAAGGCCGCTTAAGAGCCCGTCTGCTCAAATTTATGAAGTTCTGGCTGAGGTGGTTGTATTGGCTGATTCTGCTGATTTATGTAAAAATTATATTTAAAATATTTGTTATTAATAAATAAAGGGAAAAGTAATTAAAATACTCCAAACTATGAAGGGGTGTGAGATAAGCACTCCAAACTTGCATATGTAATTTAAACACCCCAAACTTTATTTAAAATGTTATTTTAACACCATGATCATGTATCATTTCTTTCAAAAATGTAAATTTATGATGTTAATTGCATAATTTGAAGTATCAAATTGAAAACTTTGCAATTGTATAGAGTGGGGATTAATGCTATTTATTTTACAATGGAAGTTATAGAATGTTAATTGTATTTTCATGAATGTTAAAATATTTTAAATTATGAGATTAACACCAAAAATTAACATTTGAGAAAAAAATATTACATGGCTAAGGTGCTAAAATAACTATTTATATAAAGTTTGGGGTATTTAAATTACATATGCAAGTTTAGGGTGCTTACCTCACACCTCTTCAAAGTTTGGGGTATTTTAATTATTTTCCCCATAAATAAAATAAAAAATTATACGGAAAAATAACTAAAATGATCATCTACAGTAACTTTAGCCAATACAGCCAGAAAAGTAACTCCAACCTTACTTTTTCTTATTATTACACAAGTAAGCGCGCCAAATCAAAAATTACATGTTTTGTGAAAAACTGACTGATAAGCCTGATAAGCCAAAAAAGTATTACCAAACGGGCTCTAAGTTTATTTATAATAATACGGAGTAATATATGAAGTATGAAGTTTCATAGTTTGGAAAGAATATACTGTCGTTGTAGCCTATGCGTGAGATGGAATTGCACCCTGGAAACCGGCCTTGACACGGACCGAATGATGTTCTCGGTCTGGGTTTTTTCTATTTAATCAGCCC